TGAGTTTCTAAAATATCTGGATTCAAATTGGATGAATGCATGGCAATCCAAGGAAATAATTCACAAGTGTGTAAAATTTAAAAAGAAACAAAGATTTAGAAAGTATATACAAGCAATCAAAATTAAGGATCATGTCACAGTGCTTTTATTTTGTTTATTACATACCAAATTGGTTTAACCCTTTGAAAAAAGTTTTATACAAAAGTTTAAATTGTAATTATTGATGTTATTGTGATTGCTACTGTAATCATACTCTATATTATTTGGAGTTAAAGAATATTTGATTTTTCAAGAAGTGGAATATTAATAGGAATTTACCAACTATGTTTGAAATGCTGTAATTTGATTTTTCCTCCCTCAATCTTTTGTGGGAATTTGAGCTCAACTTTTTTTTTTTTTTGACCGATCCATGTGAGAGAAGAAAAACATTATTCCAATCAGAATAACTGCAATGAACTGATACTGAATGTAATATACATTTTGGTTTTTGTAGGTAGTTTTTGCTACTCACTTTTTGGGAAATAAGGAAATAAAAAATTAAAGAAACAGATCATTTCCTCTCCTGAGCCTCTCCTTATACTTATATACAAACATCTGCCATTCACCTGTGAGATTCTGGAGGACAGGAACAGGTACGATTCCCTTCAGAATTCTAATTCTAGAACTGGCTTTGATACAGCCGAGGCTCAAGTTTTAGGTGTTTGCTGATGACACAAAAACTAAGCTGTCTGGGAAGCAGGGGTCCTTCATATATAAAGAGGGGAGACAGCTGGTCTTTGGAGCACTTTGACAAGTTCCCTGAAGTCAGAAAACAGTATGTACAAACGTCTGTTGTAGAAAACATAGAAATGTGCAATCTCTTCTCCAAAAGGTGAATGATGCGTGAGTGAATGTGTATGTAGGGGTGTGTGTGTGTGTGTGTGTGTGACTGAAGAAACCTTAGATCAATGCTGTATTAAATACACAGTTTATGGGCTGTGATCAAAATTAAAAGTTCGTCTGAAATTGCTGTTAGCTCTTCAGTAAAAGATAGTCCTAAGATGATTTATGTTCCAAATTGAAGCCTCAATTCAGAAATCAGAATGTATCTAGTTCAATATATTAATCAACATTTTATTCTTAGTTGAACAAACTTTATTCTTTCCTCAAAACCATACTAAAGTCTGTCAGCGGAGATGTCTTTCTAGAAGAAGGGGATACCCAATGTCCACTGTCCCCATTCACTTCCTCTGTTTCCACTGCAGGGCTGAAGGCGGAAGAGGTAGGTTGGGGCTTGAACGGAAGTTTTTATTTTCTGGGTGACTTCACACTCCCTGAGCCTGGAGTGGGTTAAGGCGAGCTTGTCCTTTCTGAGGGCATTTGTGGGAAATTCAGAGTCCATCCCTAGGGAACACACTCTGCCACTCTCTTGCCTCTAACCCAGTTTCGCTCTTGGTTTCCTTTGCAGTCTGTGTCCCAGGCTCCCTTCCAAGGTAGGACACACGGTGGAGTGCTACTGATGCTGCCACTTTTGTCCTACTTCTTTCCCAGGGGTAAGTCGGGCACCAGTCCACTCTCCCTGTACCCACTTAGGTTTAGGGGGCACATAGCACAGACTGGTGGGTCCCCCCTCGCGAGGCATGCGGTAAAAGACGTGATATCCTTGAGCCCTCTCCACTTTGGAGAGGGGGATAGCAGTGTTGTTCATCTCCCTAAAGATGTGAATTTACAACTTTCACCTCTAACCCTTCCTCATTTCCCTGATCTGACCCATGGTCCTAAAGTTATAAAACACATTATTGTCCCCATAGTAAATTCTGAACTTCACATCTTTTATATTTTCTTTTCTCCACAGAATCTTTTATTATATCATCTGTTACAACTTCATTGCAAGAGGTATGAAAGAAGAGGAAAATTAAGTTGCTAAGTATTTTAAAGCCAGACTGAAATACTTAGCCCAGTTTCTAAGCAGTGGAACTATTTCATCAAAGGAAATCTTTTTGTGTCCAAAAAATAAAATTAAAAGAACTGCATTCATTGAAGTAGAGTCCGTAAGCTCGGAAGCTGGATCTCTTTCCCTCCCTCTGCCACTCCCTGTCCTGGAACCCACTGGCCTCCGCAGAAAGCGCTGGAGATGAAAAGCACATATTGGAAAAACCCTCTCCAGAAGACCATACGATGAACAGCCAGAAGGACTACACAAAGGGAGACTGAAAAATCAGATCTGTGTTGGGGAGACAATGAAGGCTATGAAAACACTTAGGAAATAAGAAAGTGGTTGCAGCAAAGGCAGAAGGAAAGGATTTGAGAGAGATTTAAAAGGCTGATATATAGATAGCCGGTTGGTTAGTTGGAAGAGCAAAAGGACACAGATAACACAGGCTTCTTTTAACTTGATGTGCCAGACAGACATGATTGTGTAGTTAACCAGTAGAAAGGAAAGGAACATCATTTTTGCAGATGGAAGAAAAAAAATCTTAAGTCGGCATATTGGGTTTGAAGAGTTTACAGGGTACGCCAGGCAGAGATAGTCCGTTGCCATTTGAAGTCATGAGCTTTCTCACTGACTTGCTTACCATAATGAAAAATTCAAGTACATAACTTGACACTTTTTGATCACTCCTCCAATAAATAATTCTCTCCTTAGGGACGCCTAACCACCAAAGCTTTACCTCATCCACACAATAATACAATCGTTGGAAAATATAACAGCTAATTCGGATTCCTGAAATTAAATATAGTGGTGGCCTTGCTTGTGGAAGGATACTTAATGGTTGGTGATTTTAATTTTAAAAATAACGAAGGACTTTCTAATAGTCGTAAATGTCTTTCCATCAAAGAGGTGACAAATTCCCTATTACTGGGACTTCAGTCTTAATAAGGATGCTTGTTTGGCGTGCATGTTAGTCCAGGCACTCAGGCATCTGGTAAGTGATTGACTCCCAACTTGCAAGTTATTTTGCAGATTTTACTATCTGTCAGTCTGTGATCCTATTAGTCCCATTTGGGTTCTAAGCGGAAATGTCCACATACCAGAAAAACTATCGTTTGATTTCTAACTGTCCATGTGTCTAAACTTGAACTTTGTCTGCTGTCTCAGCTCATCCGTACACCATCTTCCACAAAACAAATAAGCAAGTAAATAAGCCTAAACATACCAAAGAAAACACAATTTTTTTGTAGTGCTATATTTTATTTGTCATCAGGTGACATTATAATTCATCCAGTGACGAACTAGAAACATGAGACTTATCTTTATCTACTCTTTCCCTCTAACTATCTAACCTGTCATATTTCCTGAAGATTTTACACTGTCCACCACTCCCTAACAAGGTCAGGGACTTCATCTGCAGATAAAATTTGAGATCCTCAGCATGGCAAACAGAAGCCTTCATGGTCTGATCAAGTTTAAAAAGTTGATCAAGTTTTTAAAATTTTCCTCTAAGGACTTTTTTATGCTACTTCAATATTTAATAAATCATTAAATTGTTATAACTATACAGTAGGTATCTGTTTACCTCCAAGTATTGTTACCTTTAAAGCAGCATTTTAGAAATATATAGAAATATAATGCGATCCACATTGCAATTTTAAATTTTCTAGGATTTATGTTTAAAAAGGGGAAAAAGACCCAAGTGAACCTAATTTTAATAACACGTTTAACTCATATCAAAAGCTTATTATTTCAAAATATAATCAAAATAAGAGTTATATATGAGACATTTAAAATTTTTTATGCTAAGTCTTTAAAATCTGGTATGTATTTTATACTCACAACACAACTCAGTTTGGACTAGCTAAATTTAAGTGCTCAGTAGCTACATGTGACTAGTAGCTTCCATGTCTACAGAGTAGCAACTGGAGAAGGCCAACATTGGTTCACCAGCCAAATCCAGTCCAAGGCCTGTTTTACTGTGGCCTGGGAGCTAAGATGGATTTTTTCCATTTTTAAATTGTTGGAAAAAGTGAGGAGAAGAAGAATGCCTATTGACACCTGAGAGCGTTATGAAAGTCAAATGTCAGAGTCCTTAATAAAGATTTTTTAGAGCATAGACATGCTTATTCATGTACAGATTTTCTGTGGCAAATTTTGTGTTAAAATGGCAGTGTCAATTAGTTTTGAGAGACTGTATGACCCCAAAAGCTTAAAATATTTACCATCTGACCCTTTGCAAAAAAAAGTTGCCCAATTCTGCTTTCGAGGGTTCGCTCTGCTAGGACCATGATCACGCATTAATTAGCGTTCCACTCAGAACATGGCTGACACACAAAAGAGACTCAGCAGTTTCAGAATAGGATAGATTTTACAAACTCAATTAAATAAGCATCTATTGAACAACTACAATCCTAACACACACCCCCTCTACCTAGAAATCGTACCTCGGATCTTTTCCATTCCAGAACATTGTGTCACCAAAACAGAAAAGTGACAAAACATAGTCAAAAATAGAATTCTCAATTCAGATAGATCTGGGTTCAAGCTCCATTTTTGCCTCATCTATAATCTTGAGTAATTTGCTTACCTTCTGTAACCCTTTGTTCCAGTATCTGTAAAACAGGGCATGTAAATACTTAACTTACAGGGTTGTTGCAATAATTAAATGAGATGATGCATATAATAATAAAATAGTGACTGAAGCATGGTAAATTTTCAACAAAAGTTAGCTGTTTTGGTGAATGTATCTAAAGCTTCCTAACTTAACTTACTCCTTTCAATATCTTTTAGTCTCTGCTCTTGAAGGAAGTGATGCTTTAATTAATACAGTTTATAAAATTATAAGTATATATTTATTTTAGCAAATCCTAGAAAACTATGTAGGTTGGTTAAAAATATTTTGGACACCAAAACACATTACTAGAACATTATAATTAGATTAGTTTTTAAATGTATATAAATACATACTCTAAATATAAATGAATATCTTCAAGGGAACAAAGGGTATTTATGTATAAGGAACAGGAAAGAAATATTACCTAGAAAGCTTTAACAATTTTGGAATCAGAAATACACGTTTTAATAAAGTACTATATAACTTTACCCTAGACCCATAAAATATTTTTAGATGACAATCTAAAAACTAATAAGCCATGTTTAAATGTAATAAAATATTATTATATTTAATATTATAAAGTTATTCAAATTACATAGTTCCATTTATGTTCCTGGTTGAAACGTTAACATAGCTGAAAATAAGTCTTTGGACAGTTCTGTTTAATTTAGGTTTTATGACTCCTTGGAGTGAAGAGAGGAAGAGTGTTGTAATTTTCTGGCTGTGGAGAATCATTTGCTATGGTAAACTGGATAAATGCTCATGCTGCCTCTTGGGAGCGGGATAGAAAAGAGTAGCTGGTTCTATTCTGCTGAGACGCCAAGGTCTCCATATTCTTTCAAACTCACTGGCCTTAGAGGGATCATGAATTGCTGAGGTAGAACAATCCTGCCTCCTCTTTATCTCTCATCTACTGCCTTTGAAATCAACTAGGGCTGCGTACTTGGAAGCAGCACAAAGGGTAAGGCTGGAAATAAAAATATGGCCTAGGATTTGTGATGCTCAAGTGATTGAGACTCATTTCTCCAATAGCTGCAGCACTGAAATATGCTGGACTTATCACTGATATACTGCGGTTCATGGCGCTCTAATTCATTTTACAGAAGTAATCCTGCCCCGTTCTACCATTACTCTTTGGAATAGGGCTCACGCTTTGCTTTCATTTTGAAATAATTCATCATTAAGTTCATAATATCTGATTTTATCAAATTATGCAGATACAGAAAGTGTCAAAGACTTCTTTGTGGGCAAAAGCAAAGTGACTAAAAACTCCTATGATATGTAACGCTCACATGTGATATAAAATGCACGCCCAACCTGACGAACCTTTCTCTTCCTTCTTTTAAGCAGTTTCTGAAATTCTACATATTTCTTTCCGGAATAATTAAAAATGGGGATAAACAAGTCCCTTAGCTTTTTATTCAGCATACAACAAAATACACTTGTCCTTTCTTTTGTGTAAGACTGATATTTTAAAATTAACATTCTTAACATCTGTTCAATTTTATGGATGCACTATCTACATTGGTTTTGTATATATCTTAGAGAGAGCACGATCTGTGTCTGCTTAATTTGTTTGATCTTAATATCAATTAATTTTGTTTTGTATTGGTGAGCTTTTCATCATCAATTATGAGGATTCTGATTTTACTATTTCACCAAAAAGAAAAAAAAAGCCCTAACTAAAATGAATTCTAACATTGGAAAAACATATAAGGAATCCAGAAAATAATTATCTCTATGTAATATTTCACAGTGAAATGTTATGGATTATTACTGAAATTAATATGTTGACTTCGCTTTTTTCCTCTTAATTTGTAACACTGTGGCCCATTTTGTTAGGTTTATTTTAGGCATCAAAAATAGATCTAATTTTTTGAAACATTTATTACTATAAAATGGTACTAACAGCAATATCATATTGCTCTTAGATTTTTTGGATTTAGTGATTCTCTCCTAAAAAAAAATTAATCAGATGGATTTAAATGAGAGAAGCCAATGATTTAATGAGGAGAGAAAGAAGATAAAATGTCCAAAATTTAACTTTAATCTATATTACTTATAAACACATGGTGTGTTAGATTTTTGTACATAATTTCAGATTTCAAAAAAATACTCTGCAGTTTTTTCAAAAGCTGTCATGGTGTAATTAATATTTTATTTAAGTGTATAATTATTAACCAGTTTCAATTCCAAACAATGCACTCATTTTGTTTCTTCCAAGTCTAGCTACACATTGAGTAGTCTCTTATTTTAAGTCAGACTCCTATCACTAATCATGGAGGAACAAAGATGTGTCCAAATTTTGAAAGAACATGGGTGTCCCAAAGCTCAGATAATGAATTTTAGCTCTCTCTGGAGAAAAGCCTTTCCTGTATGTAGTCTGGCAATATTCCAAGATTTCTTTTTAAAAGTAACTCCATATGTGTACCGACAATAAGCTAGTGATGTTTTAAATCAACTGGAAAGAGAGGCTGTTCTTTTCAATATTTTTTTCCTGCGCATAACTTTGAAGTGCAGCATTTGGGGATTATGAAGGTTTGGGTTACCTGCTGAATGAAGGCATGGAAAATTATTTGAAAGTACCCTTTTTTTGAAACTGTACTTTAAACTTATGAAATATCACCTGTGGTTAAGAGGCGGTATGCAATTCAAAGCATTTTTTTCAACCTAAAGACAAAGAGTTAATTTTAAATTGTGATTACATTTTCCAAGTTTTCTATGGCTGCAAGATCATAATCAAAAGTTTGTGGTTCACTTATTTTAAAGGCAGAAGATGATGGGAACAAGTAAATGCTATTAAATTAAAGAAAATATCGGTAAATTTATAATGAGTTAGGTACTGTGAGTAAAAATGAACAAAAGACCAGAGCTCACTATGCTCTAGTGATTGTCTCACAGCAGGCATTGTAAGTGATTTCATTTTCAAATAAATTCAACTTGCGTCTATTTCCCAGTAGTGTGTTCTGAATTTACTTGATGCATTCAAAGACTTGAGATTATATATGTGTGTGTGTGTGTATGAAATATATATATATATATATATATATATAGCCTTGGTAATATTTTTAGTTAGGGAAATTTGCCATATTGCAAAATTTATATCATGTAAATATAAAGGAAAATGTATTTGAATAAGGATTCTTTTCAGAAAGCAAAGGAACGATCATAATTCATATCTTATTTACATCACGAAAGAGACCCTTTACCTAATATATCACAGACACACTTGCTACAACTGGATACTATCTAAAAGCATTTTGAACTAATATGAATGGTTATATAGTTAAATATTTACTTTAGTGTGTAAAATATTTCACTCCATCCAAACAGGAAGATGGCTGCATCTTCTTTTTAGAAGCAATATAAAATGATAAAAAAAGTAGCAAAACATCTGATATTTATTAAAGTAAATGACAATTGTGTTAAAAATCATGCTTTAGAGATACTGTAAAGAAATCAGTTCAGAGACTCATTTCCAAAGTAAGTCAACATTTGTAAATAGGTAAATTATTTTTAAATTGCATATTTTAAATGTAATATGATGGGGTTTATGCCTTATGGTAAAACTGTTACATCCACTAGAATATATGTTTCATTAAATCAAGAAATATTGGGGCCAGCCTGGTGGCACAGCAGATAAATGGGCATGTTCTACTTAGGCGGCCCAGGCTTCACTGGCCCGGATCCTGGTTGCGGACATGGCACCACTTGGCACGCCCTGCTGTGGTAGGCATCCTGCATATAAAGTGGAGGAAGATGGGCAAGGATGTTAGCTCAGGGCCAGTCTTCCTCAGCAAAAAGAGGAGGATTCGCAGCTGATGTTAGCTCAGGGCTAATCCTCCTCAAAAAAAAAAAAAAGAAAGAAAGAAAAAGAAATATTTACTGAATGTGCCTATCAAATGCTAAGGGCCGAGGAACCAGTAAAATATACTGCATTTTAGCTACTGATAAGTGTAAAGGAGAAAAAAATCATACAGGGAAGGGGAATATAATATTATGGCTATGTTGTATGGGGAGGTTGTTGAAATTTTAGGTATAGAGGTTAGGAAGCATCTCTGGGGTGACTTTTGAGAAAAGCGCGAAATTGCACATGGGACTAGACATTGACCACATCTGGAAGAAGAGTGTCCTAGCTCAAGATACACACGTGGGAATGCTCGTGTGCTCTATGAACAGAGAAGAGGACAATATGGCTGTAGCTGCATGAACAAGGGCAGAGGCAGTTGTAGCAGAAGCAGCCTGAGAGGTAATAGAAGAAGATCAGGTAGGACCTTGAACGCCATGCAAAGACTAAATTTTAATTAGAGTGAGTTGGAGGATTTTGAGCAGACAGGTGATATAATATGAACTTACGTTTTAGCAGATAACTACTATTTTGAGAATGGATTGTAAGTGGGCAAGGGTGGAGGCAGCGAGACAATTAAGGAGTCCCTCAGAACAACGAGGGAAGATGTAATGGTTTCTTCAACAGTGGATTGTGACAGTGGTGGTGATGGAGCTATTAGAGAGTGACAATATTACATATACAGTATTTTGAAAGTAGAGGCAACAGGGCTTGATGATCAACTTCATGTAGAGTATGAGTTAAAGAAGAGTCAAGGATGGCAGGAGACAAGGCTGGAAGGTTGGAGTTCTCATTGACTATGATGGAGAAGCCTGTTAGAGGGGCAGTTTTGGGGACAAAAAGTCTGAAACTGACTTGGACAAATTAATTTTGGGATGACTATTAGACATTCACATTGAGCAGTCTGATAAACAGTTGTCTATATAAGTCTGGAATTAATATGGAAGTCCAGAGTTGAGATACAAATTTGGGACTTATTAGCATATTGATTGTATTAATTTGATTACAATGGCTGATCACACAGTGAGTGCAGACAGACATGAATAGATAATTCCTTATTACAAAGTTAAGCATAGTCTTTATCATTTCCTTTTTTTATGTTTTTCAGATACACATATGCAAAGAAAGCTTATAGACAAAACTGAACAATGCAATATCAAGAAAAAATAACAAGATATTGACAAAGAAAAGAACTGTTAGAATTGCCACAACTACTCTGGAGAATCATTTGTTAACTGCTGTTTTGAAAATGTGCATGTTTTATGACTTAAAATTTATACTTGTGGGTATACCATAAGGAAATGTTATAAAGACTATACAAAAAATATATATGTAAAGATTTTTATTGAAACACTGCAACTCAACATCTATCAGAAGAGAAATGAAAGAATACATGTTAGCATATCTGAACAATGGAATATTATACAGCTGTCAAAATGAAGAAACCAGAACTGTATATATCAACTTTGATTGGTCTCACAGACATAATATTGAGTTAACAAAGCAAAGTGCAGAACATTTTATGCAGTTTTGAAATCATTTTATGTTAATTACAGTTATAAATATTATAATATATAGATATTGTGATATTTATACGTACTAAAACGTGAAAACACGATTAGCCTCAAACTGAATTATAATTATTGCTTGTCGGGCATGAGACTGAAGAGAGGAACATGGAAGATTATAATATCACCAGTATTGATATATTTGTCAAAAAATATAAAATGATCTGATGAAATTATGACAGAATGTTTTCGTTTCTTAGTTGTATGTGTGTTATCCTATGTTCTTTTCTACATATTTTTACATCTTTTTAAAGAGAAGATCTGATAGCATGTGTGTGTGTGTGTGTGTGTGTCTGTGTGAAAATTGAATTAAGAACATTTCCAGAAACTGAATCACTATGCTATAGAGTTGGATTGCTACTAGAATTATTAAATCAATTGTAAAATATTTGGCTCTTAGCAAAGGGTTTTACTAAATTCTGTTATTAACTTCTTGCAATGTAGATGTTAGCATTTTCCTTCCACTAGTTTCTCATGGTAAAATATAAATTCATAGCATCACCCAGCCCAAAACGAAAAGGAAGGAAACAGGCTGCATCTTAAAAGGAAAATTCCAGCCCCCACACAAGCTGGTTTGAAAACTAAAATAGACATCACGGGGAGAAAATTCACAAACAGCAGATGTTGTGGTTCACTTTTCAATTGTTGATATTAAACAAGAACACCTCTGAGATTCCACATCCTGTGTTTATGGATTGTAGTTAAAATGGTAAAATGGTATATTCTGGTACTTCTAAATATTTTATGACACGAGGCATTTATGATGAAGAATCATTTTACTCATAAAATGTTAGATTTCTTCTAGTATTCTATTTATTTTAACTTGGAAGGAAACTACACCTTTAACCTGTTTTGCATGAGATTGAGAATAATGAATATGGTGATATAGAGTGATTTTGTGAAAATGAAATGATTTCATTTACTGGGAGGTAAATGTTCAACAAGTTAAATATGTTTATTTTTTAATATTGTATTAGTAGGATTGTCAAAACAGAACAAATTAATGGGAATTAATACATATGCAAAATCCTCAAGGTATTAATTTGAATTAAATATTAGTTATGAGAAAATATTCCATATTGCAATGATAGATCATTACTCATATAGATATAAAATTGGTTTTTAAATAGAAATGATAGCAAAAAGTAAAGCTTATTAAATTACCAGTTAATCTTCTGTTAGGTCTAGTTACATTTACATTCTAGATGTTTTAATAGTTGCATGAAGAAAAATTATGTTCTCTTCAGCTTCTATTTTTGTTTTGTTTTGTTTGAGGAAGAGTAGCCCTGAGCTAACATCCACTGCCAATCCTCCTCTTTTTGCTGAGGAAGATTTGCCTTGAGCTAACATCAGTGCCCATCTTCCGCTACTTTTTGTATGTGAGACGCCTGCCACAGCATGGCTTGATAAGTGATACATAGGTCTGCACCTGGGATCCAAACTGGCAAACCCTGGGCCACTGAAGTGGAGAGCCCAAACTTAACCACTGTGCCACCGGGCCAGCCCCTCTAGCTTCTATTTTTAATTCTTTATAGCCATCTTGCACATGTCTCCTATTGATTACAAGGGTGTAAGAAAGTAAACGTATTTTTGCAGTGAGTTTTCTTTTACCTAAAACAAAACAGTGCACTTACTGAGCATATGAGCTCTGGCTTCAGTCTGCCTGGATGTAAATTCTTTAATCACTCTTCCATTTTCCTCAACTTTAAAATGAGACTCATTATTTCGTGAAGTTTCAGTGGGATAATAAATAAAAGTACCTCATGTTTGGCATCTGGCAAACACTCAGATCTCATCTATCCACAGCATAATTGTTCCTGTTTCTGTTGTTGTTGGAAAGGAACTGGTTTTATAAATGATCTTTGTATTCTGAGCATCTGCCTGGGAGCCCCTTTAATTCATTCTCACTTAAAGATCATTTAGGAAATCACATCTGATTAGGTCTCTTCCCTAATTAAAACAATTAACAATTTTCAATTACTTTTAGAGCAAAGACCAAATATCCATAACATACCTATTAGGGTCCTACATGATACTGCCCTTGCCTTCCTGACAGCCTCTTCCCTAACAATTTATCCCACTATTTTTGGCTCTTCAGTCACACTTTGCCCTCTCAAAATCACCAACCTCCTCCCTACTTTAGGACAATCTCATATACACACGACCTTTCTCCCCAGTCAGTCCTATTTATCCTTTAGAGTTATGTCCTGAATTCAATCTCTCTGAATCTTCCAGGACAATCTCTGAAGCCTCCTGCCTGGGTCAGCTTTGCTCTACAATACACACTTCTTAAATTTTGTTACTAGTTTTATTGTGGGGTTGTATTTTAGTATGGTATTAACAAAGAGAATTTTCCACCTAGAAGGTATTTAATTGGTTAGAGCTACCATCGCTTGCTTGGTCTTGGATTACACCCCATCCAATTACCCATGACTATGGAAAGTCTGCCAGACTGGAGAAGGGGAAAAGAGGGATCAGAGAGGTAACAAGAGAGCTCAGAGCTTGTCAGGTCCCAGAATGAGGGTAGCAGGGAGAGAAGGCAATAGAAAGAGCACA